CCCCCCCGTGATGAGTGTGAGGCTGGTGTCTGCAGCTCCAAAGAGGGGCAGGGACTTGGCAAGTTTTTGCCTGACCTCGGCTTTTCCTGAGGAAGGAACCTGGACCAGGATCTGGGGCTGTCAGTCAGGCTACACTTGAGCCTTCCCGAAGGTCAGTTTTGGCTTCCAGCCCATTTCTGGCAGGTTTGGGAACCGTCCTGAGACTCCAGGGGCAGCCTCTCCTGGGAGGGAGCTGGTCTTGCTGGGTGGAGGGGGGCGCCCTTTCAGACTCACCCAATCTCTAACAATATCCTGAGACCTTGGGGCTGAGTCGGGGATCCCGAAAAGTATGAGGGGGAGGAGGTGGGGAAAGAAGGGGGGACAGCCAGCTGGCCAGGAGCCCCAGTGAAGAAAATCCTCTAGCGCTGGCCCCTACAGCTCCCTCAGACAGCTTCGCTGAGCTGGGGCCCCCGACACTGGCTTTCCAGACTCTGTCCTATAGGAGCATTAAAAGGGGAGCAGAGAAACTGCAGAGGGGGCCGTCAGCAGCCTGATAAAGTCTGGCTGGAGCAGAAGGTGAGGGAGGGGTCGCTTGGCTGTTCGGGAGAATTCTACGCGCTTTGGCTTGGAACCCAGAGGTTCCCCTCTCCTTTTGGAGTCACTGACGGTACCTCAGCCACCCGCGTCCCCAGCCGTTGGCCAGCCCACGCTTACCAGATGTACTCCCATTGCGGGGTGCGGTGCGCCTCAATTACTGTGCGCCCCGCCCCGCACTCCCTGCCCCCCTCCCCCCGACGCGCACTCTTCTTTGCCTCTCGAACCCACCAGCCTCCCTGGCTTCAGAACCAACTGGGCTGGTTCATCAGGGTTTAAGGTGGGAAATTTGGGGCGAGCGGGTGAGCACAAATATCTCGCTCTTCCTGCGGTCCCAGAGCCGGGCCCACGGCCCGGCTGCCCACCCCGTGGCTTCCTCAGAGACCTGGGGCTGGGAAATAAAATGCTAGCATAGGTCGGGGTCAGGCTGTGGGTGTGACTGCGCGGTTCCCAGGAGGCACCCAGCAGGGACTTGCTGACGGAATGGGCTGTGAAAAGAGGTTAATGCAGAGTTGGTGATGGCGGTGGTGGGGTGACGTGGACGCTGTCCCTCCTCGCCTCCCTCAGGTCTCCGTTGACGTCTCCTCTCCCCACCCCCGGGCATCTCGCTTCTTCATTCTCCCCATGGCCCTCTTTTTTCCCACCCCCTCTACGGCTTTCCAGCTCCCTCCCCAGCCCCCGCAGTTCCCTTGCCCCCCCAGATTGCAGTCAGGGGAAAAAGCCCTAACACCTTCTCCCAACCCTGCTCTCCGGTCCCATTGGTTCCCTCCCCCACCCCACCCGAGCTCAAACCCCTGCTCTGGACCTCCTGCACTCACGCCTAGGCTGTCCTGCCTTCCCACCCCAGTGGTCCCCCTGTCTCCCCCCAGCCAAGGTCACCTGAAAGAACGTAATATCCCATGTCCTGATTGTTGGGCTGGATGCCCTCATCCCATCAATCGGTTCATCCTTCTATTGTGACCCTAGAGCCATCAGCCCAATCAATCCTCGCCTGGCCGTGCTGACGTCATCCTGCAGTAGCGGGGATGGGGTGGGCATGAGAGAGCGAGCCAGGACGCGGGGCTCCAGAGCGAAAGGGAAGAAGCCACTGCCAGTCCCCCACCTTAGCCGCCCAGGCTGGGGGGCTGCTCAGGTCTGCTCTATGGACTAGGGTGGGCGGCAGGCTCCTTTCTGTCTCTGCCCTGCTGCCTGCTCTCTTCCCTCCCCTCCTTGGAGAGCCCCTGCACCCCTCCCCCAAGGTGGAATACGCGGGCTTGAGGCTCCCGGGGGAGAGCGATCGGGGCCCGGCCCTGCCCGCGCCACACCATGACCCTTCTGCTGTTGTTCCTCTTGCTCGGCTCCCTGCTCCCCTCCAGCTCCTGCAACAAAGGTGAGTGAGGCGGGGGGCGGGGGCACTGAAGGAGGGGTCTCAGGCAGGGCGCGGGGGGCGGGCGGTCGGGGTGGGCAGGAGCCCTTAAGGCTCCCTGGCACATGACAGGTGGTTCTTCAGACCACCTCCCTTCCCATCCGTTTTCTCAGACCTGCCCCCTTCTCTTCTCCCTCGCATCCCCCTTCCCACATCCTCCTCTCTGGTCCATCTCTACCCCTGTGCTTCTCTTGCTCCCATTTGGTCCCCATTCCCATCCTGGGTTCTCTCTCCCCCTCCCCCAATTTCTCCCTCCTGGAGCTATCTCAGGTCTCAGAAAGACTTGCCCCTGAGGGGCGATACACATCTCTGGGCGGGTCTCCGTTTTCCCCGGGGTGTGCCGGGGCTGAGGGTGTGTGGCACATCCATCTGGTTCCTCTCCATCCCATCCTGGGGAGAAACTGTTCCCTGCAGCTCAGCAATTCGGAGCACGTATGTTTTGGCGTGTTCCTCTGCATCCATAACCTTCCGTCTGCATGCAGCTGGGCTGAGGGTTACCAGAGCTGCCCTCTCTACAGACAGCAGATAAATTCAGCTGGGTGAGGCCGTCCGAGGGACCAGGAGGGAGGGAGCGGGTGGGGGCCGAGGGCTCAGGTAGGTGGAGACGGGCAGGGAAGGGCAGAGGTGGGTGTCTGGGAGTGTTAATTGAGTGGTGAGAGGGGAAGGGAGATGAGGTGTGGGAGGGGATGAGAAGGGGGTGGACCAGGGTCAAGGTGGAGGCCAAAAAAAAAAAAAAAAGAGAGAGAGAGGAATGAAAGGGAAATCAGGAAGAACAGGTGAGGAGAGGGGGAGGGGGAGAGTCCAGGGGGGAAAAGACAGGGAGCCCAGGAGTCAGCGAGAGGAGATGGACACAAGGAGAGAGTCGGGGGCCGAGAGGAAGGCAGCAGAAGGGCAGGGTGGGGCGTGAGCTGTGCGCAGCCCCTCCATCCTCGGCTCAGTCTCTGACCTCAGCTTGCTTCTGAGCCTCCTGCCACTTCCTGTGCTGGCTTCTGGGCACCATCTTGTGGCTTTCTCCTCCGCCACTAGAGAAGGGGGTTATGGTGGGTTCTCGGCGAGGAAGGGGCCGGCATTCAGATACCAGAAGGCTTTGGGGGATGTCACTGGAAGAAAGAATGGAAATCAGGATTTCTTGCTCACCATGACATACTGGGGATGACTTTCCTTTTGGAGACTCAGTTTCCCTCTGATGTTATGTCTTCCTCTGCCCAGGTCTCGCTGATGGGCCATCGTGGATGTGCTTTGGGAGCTTAGGGGTTGGCTTGATGGGATTCAATAGAGCAGGCTGTGGAGGTTGGCGTTGGTGACGGGAAGGGAGCCCCTCACCAGGCTGGTGGGAGATTGGTCCTGGGGAGGAGACGTGATTGAGTTGAGTCTGGTAGCAGATGGGGAGATCTGGAGGCTGAGTGAGTCCTACATCCATC